GGCCGTGGGGCGGGAGCCCAACACCGAGGAGCTGTGCCTAGACCGAGTGGTGAGATGGCAGCATGTGTTTGGGGGTCTTTGGGGGTCCCATGGGTCTCTTGCTATGGGATGGTGTTCCCGCCGTGTCCCCCCAGCCGGGAATGCAGCGGCCACAGGCACAGGTTCCCCTGGGCATGGCCGGTGGTACATCAGCCGGGGCGCGTGCCGAGGTGGCTGCTGTTTCCGACGGCAGGGCGTGCGGGTGGATGCCAAGGGCCACGTGGTGGTGGATGAATACCAGAACACCACCAGGAAGGGGGTCTACGCTGTCGGGGATGTGTGCGGGAGAGCCCTCCTCACCCCAGGTACCGTGGCCGCGTCCCCTCCCCACCACCCCTCGTCCCCACGGCAGCGTGCCACGGCTCAGGCTCCCCGTCCCTCCCCGCAGTGGCCATCGCGGCCGGCAGGAAGCTGGCGCACAGGCTCTTCGAGGGCAAGGAGGACTCCCGGCTGGACTACCACAACATCCCCACTGTCGTCTTCAGCCACCCACCCATTGGCACTGTGGGCCTCACTGAAGGTGGGCACAGGCAGGGCGTGGGGGGGGAGGCTGGGGGCATCGCAGCTCAGAGCGGCTAAATTTGTGGTTGGGGGGTCCAGTAAGCGGTCCGAGCCTGGCGAAGGGTGCTCGGACTCGCGCTGTCTGAACGCCTCCTGCATACGACGCGTCCCTCGGGCTTATGCGCCGCGTCTTCTGCTGCAGATGAAGCCGTGGCCGCGCACGGGAGGGAGAACGTGAAGATCTACAGCACATCCTTCACCCCCTTGTACCACGCTGTCACCCAGAGGAAGGTTAAGTGTGTCATGAAGCTGGTGTGCGTCGGTGAGGAGGAGAAGGTGCGTGGAGGGGACTGGGGGGGCAGCTGGATGCTGCTGGGATGTGGCAGAGACCGCGGCTGCCCGTTCTCCTGTCCCTGACTCGCTCAGACTGGGTCACGGGCGAGGATCCAGCTCTCCCAGCACCAAGCCCAGCGTCCACCTGGCGCTGGGTCCCATCTGGCCTCTTGCTTCTTCTCCAAAGGTGGTGGGACTGCACATGCAAGGGCTGGGCTGCGACGAAATGCTGCAGGGCTTTGCCGTGGCCATCAAAATGGGGGCCACCAAGGCCGACTTGGACAACACCGTCGCCATTCACCCCACTTCTGCCGAAGAGCTGGTGACGCTGCGCTGAGGCGGTGGGCGCGAGCAGCCCCCGGGATGGCAGCTGCAGGTGGGGAGAAGGTTTTCTGTGCCTTAAAAAAAATAAGCCTTAACGTCGGTAGGGTGGGAAGTTTGGAGTGGAGAGTAAATACAGTGATGCTGGCAAAGCTGTGTCTTTCACTTCACGGCGATGGTCTCCCACCGTGCCCAGCCCCGGAGGGTGGTGGCACGGTCCCTCGGGACGGTGGGAGGGAAGGTGTGTGGTTCTAGGCTTTGCCGTCCTCTCTCCATCCTGGCTGGGAAACCCAGTCCAGCCCTCCCGACCCCATCAGCCTGTGTTTCAGTAGGGTGTTGGACTCCTAGGGGCTCACGGATGAGCTGAAGCCCGGATATTCCTGGTTTCCATAGTTACCTATGCCAGTTTTTGCGTGAATAATGATTTTTTGCGAAGCGAAGCACAGGATGCCTCTGGGCTCGCCACAGACAATCCTCGGGCGCGGTGGGGGGGTTCCCCAACGCTAACCTGAAGTCAGTCACCCCGGTTTAGTGACGGTGGCTTTACCCTCTCGGTCAGTATTCTGCGGTGGCATTTTGTCACCGTTTCTTATCCATTTAAAGGACAACTTGGGTCGCTTTAAGGCATATTTTGGAGTGTTTGCCCTGTGCTTCAGGGCCAGAGAAGGGTTTAAAGCGTCTGCCGAAGGAGAGGCGGGGACGCACAGGCGCAGCCAGGGGCAGAGTGTCCGCAGAAGCCTGTTTTTTTGAGAAAATCGGGCGGAAAAGCAGAGGGTGGCTGGGCCTGGGGCGGCCTGTCAGAGCACGTCCCGCTGGCAGCCGGGGTCCGCCATCGGGCGGGCGG